AGTATATAAATATATATATATATATATACAATAAATAAGTAGTATAAAATTAATTATTGATAAATTTGTGTATAATGATGTTAATTGTTTATTATATCGGATATTACGACAGTTCAAAATAAAAATTAATGGTTTAACGTGAAATATAGGTCGCCAGTAGTTACAATGAAACCAACACATAGTCAATGCTACAGCTGTCAACTGACGGACAAGGTTCTGTCAACCAATACTGGGCCATCACTGGCAAATGACTGACTACAATAACTGGGCCAATATCATATGTCAGTACTGGGCCCAAGTTATCATTCAGTACTTTGCCAGTACTGAGCCAGTAGTTTGCCAATATTGCGCCAGTACCTGAACTGTGGCAACCAGTAATGACCCAACATTGATTGTAAAACCCTATATAGAGTGTCTGTGTGTGTAATAAAGAAAAAGTAAAATGTTTCATACACACACACGCATAATGAAATTGCTTATAATGATTTTATTTATTCAGCATTAACACAATTTTTTAAATTGTTGATAAAATACTTTAATCAATATTTTTTTTACTTCTCCAAAAAACACTTAAAACAATTGTTTATGTGCTTTAACTTTTCAAGAAGTAATAATAAGAACTCTTGATAAAATTGTATAAATCTAAAGATCATTTTATCGATACTAATAAGGTATTAATATTTATTTCTACATTTCAACATTCTTTTTATGTGATTTTATAAAAATTAATGAGAACAATAACAATTCCTATTAAGCATGTTACTAGTCATTTGTTTGATGCAGCAAATTGAATATAGAATATGACATCTTAAGCAACTGTAAAAAAATTATAAGTATATTAAAAATTATTAAAAATAATTGCAAAATTTAATAATAATATCCATTTTTAATATTTGATACTGACAGCTACAAATGACTCAAGATTCATCGTGATTATGTACCCGCTGGTAAATTCAATAGGAGTCATTGCGCGCTTCATAATCAATAAGAGATCTTTTTTGTTGCTATTACTAAGCGCCAGCCATTCTATATCATAAATATTATTTATCAATTGAAGGCTCTACAAAAAAATGTATATTTTATATAATATTATAGTGAGAAGTATATTTTTTTTGATAATCTTAGTTACGTATTTATTTTGCATCACAGATAATTTATTTTAAACAATATTCAGTATATATAAATAGGATCAATTTAAATAAGATGTACTTTTAACTTGACTTCGTTTCCAAACCAGCAGTAGATGAAAATCTGCACTAAAATAGCACTCGTATACATTATTAGTGAAATGAAACTAATGTAATCTCTCGCCATAGCTATTCGGTACAGATTCGAGCACACTACCAACATGCTCACAGCAAACTGGATAGCAATTATTTTTGCAAACATGTTGTTCACCGTATATGCATATCTGCGATTAGATTAAAAATTTTTAGTAATACTTTAATATTCTGACAAATATAATTTTTTAATTGTTAACAAATTGTTAGACTTATGTTATTTAAATTTAATTGCTCGTTTAAGACATTTACAGAATATATAATATTTTATAATATTTATAATATTTTAGTAATAAAATATTTTATTTTTTATGCTTCTTTATTTACAGATTTTCTATTTCAAAATTTATCTATCTTCAATGAAAATTTTATAAACACTATTTTATTTAATAAATATTTAATCTCTGCGAAAATATTTTTTAAATCTCTCTTTTTTAATCAAATTTTATTTGAACTCTTTGTTAAAGAATTCAATGCTTTATTAGATATATTTATATTTCTTTATTTTGTTCAAATATTTCTTTTTTTGTCCAAAAAGTCTATAGATTTTTATAAATAAAAAATTATTTATTTTTCTAATTATTATTAAAAAATTGTAGTAAAAAGTGTAAAATCTTCTTTATTTATTGATTATTATTTATCTAGTTGAGAAATAAATAATAATTGTTTAAAACATATTTTTATTTTGTGTGCAATCTGAATTTTTTTAATTAGAAAAAAAATTAAAAAACTTTTGTTTTTTAATGTGAACTACTTAAATAAACTAACTCAAAGATACGGTTGTGATGACGAACACAGTCGCGCAGACTATTTTGATGCGTGAGTTTTGTCAGTCGATATCCCAGAATTTCAAATTGACAGCAGATGTGAAGTAAGAATCCACAAAGTAAGCTCTCGCAAGCAACATTTACTATACCAGAGGTTGACATAGCTATTAATTGATGAATATATACAATAAAATAAATAGCAGGAGATGAGTAGTCAAACGGTACCCATGCCTTATATGTCAAGTTTCTTTTCATAAAGTCCGTGGAGACAGACATCATTACTATCGATGTGATTGACATCAAGACGATGATTAAATATCTTCGCATATTGTTTCTATAAAATAATTATAAAATTTGTTACAACAATTCCACGAGATTAACTCGATTTTTTTTTGTATATTTCCTGCAGTACATATCACTTATAACACTTTTTATCTATAGGTATTTACAAATGTAAAAACATTCATAATTCTATAAAAAATTTAATAAAATGAAACGTAATTTACATTATCTGTATCAAATTATTATGTAATATAAATAGATGCGCTGTAATCACTATAATGCTATAATTACTAATGCTATAATTAAATATCCAAAAACACAAGCCAAGATATTGCTGTCTAGAAATTTATTGAGGAATAATTGATGCATTTAATTACACAATTTTATGACACTTACTGTACCAGTTTCTCAAATTTTTCTTGAATCATTACTTCATGTGTTTCATATGGTGCAAAAGGTTTTTCGTTAAGAATATTTATTATTATCATAAAATTCTTACGGTCTACCCACATATAAACCTGTTTGTAGCCTGCTACGAATATCGTTAACATCATGTATAAAGCATCGGTAACTTCATCAGAGTTGCCGACGTTTAATGTAATGTTTATAAATTGAGAAATCAAAAATAAATATAATGAGGAAATCAGAAATATTGCATAAATCTTATAAATTATATGTTTAAATAGCGATGTCCATGTAATTGGTTGCCAGCATCCAGCGAATGCGCAGAGCATGAGTGAAAATTTCAGCATTTGAGCTTCTTTTTAATGTAGATTAGCCTATACAATTTTCAGTTAACATTTACGTTATTGTTTATCATGGTTGAAATATTTCTTTTTTTTTAAGGATAGAGGAAGAAAATATTAAGAATGATTCTAATATGCTAATTTAAAGAAGTTAAGAAATTTTTTGAAATTAATTTTATAAAACCTTATTTTTACACGCACTTACAAAGATTTCCCGATTAATTTATATTACTTGCATTTATTTCAACTGTTTATCACATTATTAAAATTAACATAAACTGCTCAGGTAATTCTTGAGAACATTATTTGATTAAATCTTCGTTTTTTATCTTCTCAAATTACAATGTATAAATGTCTACCGGATCTCTCAATACTATTTTCTAATTCTGATTTCTACTCGTCTCATACTTCTGTTATTATTATTATAATACGAAACTAGTAACGCGACATTCTTGAGAAATAATATTTTCATGAAATAAGACACGAGATTGTTTCGAGGTATTGTATATGCTTTATCAGACAAATGTACTGTCTATAAATATTTTTATGAAGACGACGAGATAGAAAAGACAGACAGATATACGGAAGAATAACAATTCTTTGAATTGTCCCCAGTAAGATGTATTATTTGTCTTCTATATTTCCACAATTACATTTCCTTTAATATAGTTCACCCATGGTATATTACAAAATATTTTTACTACCTGTTTGCGAAATTAATATCTTGGTTGTTGCGTTGTAAATCGTTGGCTATAGCTCATGACAATGAAATTTTAATGTTAATAGTTTGTACGTCTGGTTAAGGTAATACACTTTTTGTCTTAGCGTCTACGACTCGCTGTCACATGTCGAAATATCATCAAGTGCTTCGTTGAATGTAGATTTTACATTTACTCTTCCTTTATATATACTTTATATACACAAGTAAGAAAATATCTTTAATTCTTAGATTAAATGTAAAGTTGAAGATATTAATAGTTATTTACAATAGTTATAATAAATTTTTCTATTAGTATTTATTTGCATGCATAATATTTTTTGGTAGCTACAATATTATTTATTATAATAAAGTATCAATAAACAATTTTAACGCAATAAATATTTGTAATCTAAGGAGGGATAATAGAAATTAAATAGAAATATCTCGGAAAAGTTTGTAACAAAATTTTTATAATTTGAATATGTCTATTGTTAATATAAATTTCTTGTAATATCATTTTAATTTTGTTTTTTGTCCTAAGCATATATACCTGTTTTATTACCTTTTCTTATACTATAAATCAAAGTACATGCTAATGTAAGCATGTATTTCCGCAAATATTTGATATATTGTTTAAAAATAACTTAGTAATATATATACAATATATATCAACGATATGTTAATATATTTATTCAATATATTTTTTAACTGATTTTTTAACATACTTTGTATATCGCTTTATAAAACGGTAACATTTTCTATTAATTCTGTAAAGAGTGCTTTAATAAGTTGTAAGCTGAATACGATGATTTAAGTAACTGTAAAAAGATTTTAAGTATTTAATATTACTTGATATTTATATTAAATTTATATTTATAAATCTAAATTCATTTTTATAATTAAATAATACTGACAGACACAAATGAATCAAGACTCAATGTAATAATAACCGCGCTATTAAATTCAATAGGAACCATTGAGCGTCTCATGATTAGCAGCAGAGCTTTTTTATTCTTATTATCAAACACGTGCCACTTCATGTTGTATATGCTGTTTGCTACTCCAATGCTCTATATGTAAATATTGCCCATTAAAAAAGATATATCACGTATTATATAATAATATTTCTTTTTCTTTTTTTCAATTTTTTAAGTTTATTTTTTTAAAGTTCTAATAGTAATAAACGAAAAATATAATTTATTTTTTATATCTATATATAAGATAATATGTGTATTTATATAAATTATATACCTTTAATTTGAGTTCATTTCCAAACCAGCAATAGAGAAAGATCTGTGATAACATGCAGGCCGTATACATTATCAGAGTAACAAGACTTCCATTGATCATTACGATAGAAATAGAAGCCAATTTGTATAAATTAGCACACACCACTAGCATGCTTACTGTGAACTGGAGAGCAATTATCTTCGCAAACCTGCGATTTACTATTTGCGCGTATCTAACATTAAATAAAGAAAGACAAAGAATTTTATTCTTTATATATAACTTTTAAAGCCATTTATCAATCTTATCGATCATCTTTCATAACATTTTTTATAAAATAAATAATTGTAATAATTTTCGAACTCCTTTGAGATGAGAATTTCGCAGAAGAGAACGTACAAATAGACAAGTTTGCGTGTAATGATTATATTCCAAATATTTTAAATAAAATTGTTTTAAAAACTAACTCATATATACGATCATGGTGACGAATACAGTTGTAGAGACTATGTTGGTCATATGAGATTTTTAACCGGTATTCCAGAATCTCAAGCTGACAGCAAATCTCTTGCAGGAGTCCGGATATCAGGCTATCACAGGCAACGTTTACAATCGCACAGATTGACATACCTATTATTTGGTGAGTGAATACGAAAAAAAATATAATGGGTGATGTGTAGTCAAATGGCACCCATGCTTTGAATGTCAAATTTCTTTTCATAAAATCCATGAAGATAGCATTTAAAATTATGCATATGACTGTTACCTGCACAAGGCCGTAATAGCACAATGCATATTTCCTATAAAATATATTTTTTATGAAAATATTCTAATGTCTATGAAAAATTGTTGTCTATTTGTTCTGAAAGCGTTTGCTTATATATTATTCATATTGTTATATTTTTACGAATTATATTACTATTTATATCTATGTTGTTTGTGACATATTGATAAATTAGAAGCATTCTGCTGTAAATTATTAATATTTCACGAACAATATGATATAAAAATATAATAAAATTAATATAATTCGGAAGAATATGCTCGTAATAATGGAGCATTAAAATAATTGTATTCAGAAAATGATCAAATTATGTTAAACATAATACATATAAGGGAGATTCGCTGAATGTGTACTACTTAAGCAATTTTTTTATTGTATGTTCCATTTCATACTGATTTGTACACAAATAAACATTGGAAATTGTAGCTTGATGTTTCTTATTGTTTATTATTACATGTTTAAATTTTTAATATATAAATTTGTTATGTCGTTTTGAAACATATTGCATATTTCAATACGCAGGAGACCGTGGCACCCTATAATTCTGCTTTGCATGAAAAGTCAGACCCTTCTAGGCAAAGGAAGAGGTGGGTGGGATGGACCTCGCTTTGCATGAAAAGTCCTTACAAAATTATATTCTATTTATATAACATATTCTATTGTTAATTTTGTAACGAACGATGTTCAAAACCTGTTGGAGGTCACTCTCGGCCATGACTGTTCCATATTTTTGTTAATAAATGTTTTTATATTAAATAATAATGTAAAATATTGATGAGGTAACAATTGAGGCAAACAATACACATTCAACAACTCTCCCGTACATATGTACATTATGTTAATTGTATTAACTAAATAAAATATATAAATATGATTACATTCTCTGAAATACTGTTATAACGCATTTGATAACGCAATGATGGAGCTAAAACATTCTGATTAATCAGAAATTATTATTAATTATAATATAAATTTATATTATTAATTATAATATAAATTTTTTTATTGAATTATGACTGTGTTGCACTTTATGTTTGTATAATTCAAGAATAATACTTACCTTATTATTTTGTCATATTTTTGTCGAATTATTACTTCACATGATTCCGACGGTTTAAAAGGTTCCTCCTTAAGAACATTGACTATCGTTACAACATGTTCTTTAATTATCCACATAGTAACTATTTTATAAGTCGCGATAAATACCGCCAATGTCATATATATATTATCGCTTATTTCATCAAAATTGTTAATATTTAATACAATGTTCATAACTTGCGATAGTGTAAATGTACTTGCTATGCAAATCAGTAATATTCTATAACTGTTATATATTATATATTTTGACTGCGATGTCCATGTAAGCGGTTGCCAGCATCCGCAGACCGTACAAAGTACAAGTGTAAACTGCAGCACGATCATTCGAATTTTTTAAAGTTTAATCTTGTCTACACTTTAATTACTATAACAGTGTTATGTCTACTCATAATTCCAATATTATACATGTAAAATGAAAAGAAGTAAAGTTAAAATTGCATATAAGATTTAAAAAGAAAGTGTTATATATACGTATGTACATGTGTGTGTGTGTGTGTGTGTGTGTGTGTGTGTGTGCGCGCGCGCGCGCGCGCGTGTGTAATACAATACTTTCTGTATACATACATATCAAATAAAATATTTTTTTCTGACATTTTTTAAATATAAAATTTAACTTCACTTAAATAAAGATTTCAAAATTATTTAAAAAAAGGGTATACATCCAGAAAGCTTAAATATGTATCTATTTTTTACGGATTTGTTTTTTGCGAAAACTGTTAACTTTACTCAAGCAGGATTTTAATCAATACACATATATCAGCGTAAAACTTTTAGTTAAAAATATTAACAAAGAGCGCTGGCACAACTCACTAATATGTAGGACAATGTAATATGGATGAAGGATATTAGCTAAAACTCTGTTTTAAAGTAAATAATTTTCGTAAAAGAATTTATGAAAGAAATTGGCATTTTTTTCTTTTTGGTTTATCCTCCACTCCTAATTTAAACGTTTAATATCAGACATTAAGTAAAAAAATTTCTCTTAATATTTCCAAATAAATCGTACAATGTTATTATAAAAATGTATAAAAAAATAATTTTAAAATAAACATAATATATAATTCCACAATTCCATTTTTTGAAGTATAAATTTACAATATATGCTATACTTATATATGTTAATACTTACAAAATATGATTAATTCTCACAATTAATTACTTAACATCACATTAAAAGTATTACTGTAAATTTCTTAAAAAGCAATTAATATTATTTAATTATAGACAAATTAACGGAAAAAATTATATGACTAAATCATATTCACGTGCCAAATAGGATGAATAAATTGTACGAGAGAGCGAAATACACCCGAAATGTGTATAGACTCTCGATAACACTTTCTGACAATACACAGTACTTACTGATTGTCCGCCAAACTTTTTTTATCTGTCTCTATTATTATTGTAATACCGATCTTGCAACGGCGCGAAATATTATATATTTCCATGAGACAACATGTAGATAAACTGCAATTCTTTCATATAATGGAGTAAATATTGTAAATGATATTTCCATAAGGTAGAAGGCAAAATAGAGATATAAGTTAATATACTCTTTCTTCGAAGATTTATCAATATAAAATATGAAGTATAAATTGCTTCTATGAAGTATGCATGCGTCACTTATAGTATGTACATTTGATAAAAAAATATTTTTTTTTTACTGTCGCTAGCCAGTGCTTCACATGCTATCACGTGCTGCACATGTCATTACATTTTACATATCGATTTCTATTCATTTGCGATGGCCAGTGAAACATAAATGTCGGAGAAGCAGTGAATTATACTAGAAGCTAGGCTAACAGTGACGTAATATATTTTACGAAAACTCTTTTTATAACATGTTGATAGTTATCGCAACAATTAAAACAATATTGTACAAAAATTTTTGATGCAAAAAGTGTGAGTGTTAATACATGCTTAACATTAATTGCACAACGACCTTAATTATTAATTCATCCAATCATATATACATGTAAAACATTAAGAAAAATACAAAAAATAAAACATTGCATAAATTGCAAGGCTTGTTAGCACAAAAGACAATTCGCATTTTGTTCTATTTATATATTTATGGCAAAAGAAACAATGGAAAATAAGTAAGGTTATATTTATATACTTTTATTGTATAGACAATCATTTTTTAAAATATTAAAAATTACCTACATTTTGATTTATTCCATTGCGCGTGCACACGTTCTTTTATTATAACTATTATTTAATATTTCTTGACAATTTTATAATATTTAATCTTGAAAATTTGTTATTAACCTTAATTATCTGATTGCTATCATTAGCGATGTACGATTAATATAAATTTAACATGTATTTATTATTAATAACACTTTTTAATCTTGTGCTACGTCATATATGTGATGTAAATAAAATATGACAAAACATGAATATGACGTTAAGTATCTAAACATAGAATTAATATCAAACTTAATGAATTGTTTATTTACTCCATAAAAAAAAAAATAAGTTTCTCATACAAATCGTTACGAAAATACCGAGATTTATTAGCATAATGTCTGCGCTGATAAATTTGATTGGTATTGCAAATAGATATAAATGATAATAATTAAAATTTTTTTCCTGAGGATGTCCGTATGTCCTTAAACACCCTAAGGATATCCCCTGGATGTATCCTAGATAAAGTGTGCTATTAAAGTACGTATCAATTTTTTTCTTTTTGTAACGGTATAATCTTGATTTTTTCAGACAATTTGATAATTATGAAAGAACTAAAATTATTTTCAGCTTGATTTCATTACCAGAAATAATAAAGATATAAATAGAAGCTACAATGTCTTCCATATAAAAAACAGTATTGAATGATTCAAAAGCCATTTGAATTAAATTGAAGCACATTCAGAATCAATTTAAAGAGACTATTGGATCTGTCTTTTTTGTGCTTTTATAGTACTAAAATGAAAATATAGTGCACCATTAAAAAAAAAGAGATAACTTTAATATAAACTTAAAAAATTTAGAAAATGAAACTTCTTTTGTATATTTCCAGATTTTATATAAAAAAATTATAAAGATAGTGTATTTATGCTTTCTTTGTATATTCTATGTTTAGCAGTATTTCAAATACCATTTATATAGAAACATTTTCTATACATATATGCGAGTAGAAAAATAGCTTTAATTTTTAAATGAGAAAAATGCTGAAAATATTAATAGTTATTCGAAATAGTTATAATAAAATGTTTTTATCGTAATATATTTATTTGCAAGCATTTTTTACAGTTGCAATATTATTTATTACAATAAAATATCAATCAACAATTTTAATGTAGCCTATAAATATTTATAATCCAAAGAGAAATAATAAAAATTGAATAATAGAAATAGCGGAACAGTTTATTAACATTATTCATTTGGATAGAATATGTATTTTTACTATAATATAAATTCCTTGTAATATTATTTTAATTTTGTTTCTCATTTTAACATTTTTTTCTTGCACATCACAAATAAAATACGTATATAAATGCTTCCGCAAACATTTCATATTGTGTAAAAATAAATTAGATAGTATTAATGATATATTTATATTATTGATATTAATTAATATGTATATAATTTATCTTTAATGTACCTATGTGTCGATTCGTGGAATATGAAAGACAATTTCTGTTTATCAATCTTGCTGAGCGCGTTTTAATATATTGTAAGCCGAATACGATGTTTTAAGCAACTGTAAAAAAATTGTTAATGCATTTCATATTATTTAAAACATTTATAAAAGAAATTAAACGTATTTTTATTATCAACTAATACTGACAGTTACAAACGAGTCAAGATTTAATGTAATGACAATCGCGCTCTTAAATTCAATGGGAATCATTGAACGTCTCATAATTAACAGAAGAGATTTTTTACTTTTGTTATCAAGCTCCTTCCACTTTATATTGTATATGCTGTTTGCTACTTTGGTACTCTGTAAGTAAACGTTTTAAGCATTGCGTATTATTAAAAATGATGAACCATGTATTATGTAATAATATTTCTTTTTAATTTTGAATCTGTATACACTAAAGTTCTAGTAGTTACAAAAAAAAAAGTTACAAAAGATTAAAAAATAATTTATTTTTTTATATATAAATATAAGATCATAATATATGTAGATAAATTATGTACTCTTAATTTGAGTTCATTTCCAAACCAACAATAGAGGAAGATCTGTGATAACATGCAGGCCGTATATAGTACTAGTGTTACAAGGCTTCCATTAATCATCAGAAGAGAAATAGCAGCCAATTTATATAAATTAGCACACACTACTAGCATGCTTACTGTGAACTGGAGAGCAATTATTTTCGCAAACCTGCGATTTATTACATGAGCGTATCTACGATTAAATAAAAAATTTTAATCACTCCAAAAATCATTTATCATCGAGTATCTTTCATGACATTCTTTGTTAGATAAACGATTTAATAATTTCCGAATTATTTTAAGATGAGAATTTCCAAAGAACATACGTGTACAAACAATTTTGACACAGAGTGATTACATTGCAAATTTTTGAAATAACAGAGTGGTTTTAAAAACTAACTCATATATACGATTGTGGTGACGTACACAATCGCGAAGAATATGTTTTTCGTGTAAGATTTTCGTCAATCGGTATTCCAGAATCTCAAGCTGACAGCAAATCTCTTGCAGGAGTCCGGATATCAGGCTATCACAGGCAACGTTTACAGCCGCACAGATTGACATACCTATCATTTGGTGAGTAAATATCAACAAAAATATAATAGGTAATGTATAGTCGAATGGCACCCATGCTTTGTATGTCAAGTTTCCTTCTATAAAATCCATAAAGATAGCATTTAAAATTATGCATATGACTGTTACTTGGACGAGGCCATAATACCATACTGCGTATTTCCTATAAAATGTATTTCTTATAAAAATATTTTCTAATTCAGCTATAAAAAATTGTTACATCCACTTGTTTTTGAAAAGTTTATTTAATACTCTTATTGCACTATTTTTCTTAAATTATATTACTATTTACATGTGTATTTGTGGAATATTGATGGAATATTGATGGCATTGGAAGAATGCTTATAAATCATTAATATCCCACAAATAACACAGATAATAATTAAAACATTCAATAATTATGTTCAGAAAATAATCATATTGTGCTAAACACTATATATGTATATTGTCTTAAAATTAATTAATTTAGATATTTAAAATATTAATTTCATAAACATTCTATATTGCTATGATGTATTTAATAACACAATACAATAATGGAGTTAAAATATTCTGATTATTCAGAAACTGATTATTAAATTATAACTGATAAATTTACTTGTGTAATTTGAGAATAATACTTACTTTATCATTTTGTCATATTTTTGTCGAATTATTTCTTCGCATGATTCCGACGGTTTGAAAGGTTTTTCCGTAAGAACATTGATTATCGTTATGATGTGTTCCTTAATTATCCACATAGTAGTTATTTTATAAGTTGCGATGAATACCGTCAACGTCATATATATATTATCGCTTATTTCGTCAAAGTTGTTAATATTTAGTATAATATTCACAACTTGCGATATTGTAAATGTACACAACAGACAAATTAACAATATTCTATAACTGTTATACATTATATATTTAAATAGCGATGTCCATGTAAGCGGCTGCCAGCATCCGCTGACTGCGCAGAGTGTAAGTGTAAATTCCAGCACGATCATTCAAACTTTTTAAAATTTAATTTTGCCTATACGTGAATTACTCATAGTATTATATCTATATTTATATCTATTTGTACGTTCAATATCATATACATTTAAAATAAAAAAAAATAAAAAATAAAATTTTTTTCAGTCAAATATTTTATATAAAGCTTAATTTCATTTAAATAGACTTTAAAATTGAATTACTTAAGTGTTCAATTGTCATTGACATTGTGCAGGTAAAAACATTTGTACTAATAAGTTGTCTTTAAATAAATTAAATTTTGATATATAAAAAAGCTATAATTTTAAAATAAACATAATATAATTATACAATTCTATTTTGTAATATATAAAACTTATAAATTCATAATATTTGTTATACTTAAGTGATCAATTCTCACTTGACATATCATATAAAAAATGTATTGCAAATATCTTAACAAATAATACTATTTAAACAGTTCGTAAAAAAATTGTATGGTCACATCATATTCATACTTCAAATAGCAATAGACAAATTTTACAAGAGATCGGAATACATCCAGAACGTCTATAGCCTCACAACCCTACTTTGTGGTATTGTAAAGTACTCGTTCAGTACACCCCTTTTTGTGTCTCTATTATTACCGTAATACCCATTTTGCGCGGAATATTATTTTCATGAGGAAGATATAGATAAGCTACAATATTTGTCACGCGATGGAGTAAATAACATTTCCACAGGATAAAAGCAATGTGGCTTTTAAAGGTTTATCAATATAGAACACCAGGTGTAAGGAATCTCTATGAAATATTCATCACTTCTTGTATTTTTGATCAAAAATGTATTTTTGATTATTGTTACTATCCAATGTTTGACATGTAACATCACGTACCTCATCGATTTCTATTCATAGCATAACAAACATCGGAGAGAAAGTGAAGTATAGAAACTAGTCTAACAGTGATGTAATAATTTCTACGATATTAAGCTTTTTATGTATATATTACGATAATCGTAGCAATTAAAACAACATTTATAAGAATTTTCGATGATATATGCAAAGAAAAACATGGGTGTTAATGTATGCTTATTGTAGTTAACGTGAATTGTAACGACATTTTATCAATCTAATAAAATGATATCGGCTCTGATTGGTTCATGACTTAAGACTGTATTTAAGACAGTTTTAAATATAAGAATCAATTATAAATATCAATCTATAACTCCTACATATAATGTCATTTGATGATAAATAATCTTTATGACAAAATTGCATTCTATATATGCCATAACTTCGTAGAACAATGATACACAGTTACGAGTGTAAAAATATAAATAAAATCTTTATATTCTTATTAGTAAATCGATATGTTACGAATTATTTCTCTGGTTATACTTACATGTCGCTTTAGTATATGTATTGATTAATAATATTATAAAATATTTTATTACTATACGAGAAAGAATTCTTCATATATATATATAATATTTAATGAATCAAAAACTATGTTTTGCCTCGATAAAATTTTAATAAAATAGATAATACCACGGATAATATATCCTATATAAGACATTGTCATTAAGAACTTTGTTACATATCGATTTATGTACCGCGTCCTACATAAATGAGAGAAAATATTATTTTGTTTCTCTATAAGCCCAGATCTATTCAATCAATATCAAAATTACTTATTATATAAAAGACGAATCTTTTCATTTAAACATATAAGTATACATATTAGTATACATAGTGTTATGTTCGTGTTTTGCCGACGCCCGTGGTGTAGCGAAGAGCACGCGTTGCGGAGACGATTAAGCATTCGTCTGTCTAACAAGATCATCAGATTTAGATGTGAGCTGTCGATGCGTACGGACGTACTCTTGATTGCTCCATCTAACATCTTCCGCGGTGTTCTGTATTCTGTATTAATAAACGTTTCTTGTTCTTTTTCTTAACATTCATATTGTTCATTTCGGTGGTTCGGGGGTGCGTGTGCGCGTCCGCGAGCGCAACCTCGTAAATCCGTCGCGCGGACATATTAACAATATAATTTACATATTTGCATATTTAATCGAGTTAATGATTTCTGTTCATCATCAATCATTCTTGTCAAAAATAATGTGATTTAATATTATGTGAAAATATATCAAAACATTTTTCCAAAGAGTATCAAGTAAGTGTAATATTAAAAATGCAATTTAATATTTCAAAGACATTAGACAAAAGGTTAATTACATATGTATAACATGTTTTATTAATAGTTACATAGACAGCACGCAATACACGCATGTCTAAAAACGAGACATAAGGCATCTTATCGTGTTCATGCGTGTTATCTGTTTAATAACTATAAATATAATATATTACATATGTATATGTTATTGTACATATGTAATTAACATATGTTTTAAGTCTTGATTTAGATTTTTTGTTGTCTAAATAGATATTGATCAATTATGCACAAGAAAAAAGATGAAACTAAACGTCACAAACATAGAGATACAAACGTTTACAATAGTTGTATTTGTTTGTATAACTTTATTGTAAATAATCATTTTCCGTAATTTATTTATATTTAGCTCATTCCATCGCTCATTGCTCGCATTTCTCTAATGTATTAACTTCTCTACTAATGTATTATTTAATGTACTTTTACAATTTTATAACATTTTCTTTCAAAAATTTGTTATTAGCATTAATTAATGAATTACTGTCATCCTTGATGTGTTAATAATATATAATAAATTCAATATATATTTATTATTAATAATTTTTAATTTTGTGGCTATTTTACTATTTCTGCGACTGTATCATTACATTAAAAAGAGAATATGACGTTTTAAGCACCTAAATACTTATATAATTAATGACAAATTTATTCAGCAAATCATATGTGCATTACATTCAAAGAATAAGTTCTTCATACAAACCTTTACAAAAGAGTCAAGATTCACCGGCATAATATCTGCGCTGGTAAATTCAATTGGTATCGTAGCACGATTCATGATCATTAAGAGTCCTTTCTTTATATTATTGCTGAACATAGTCCATTCCATATTATAAATACTATTATATAATTGAAGGCTCTATAAATAAAGTTATAATATAATTATAATTATATATATATATATATATATA